TAGTAACATCTCAGACCTAGTACTTGATTGAATAAAAGCCATACCACAAGAAAATTAGAAAAATATCTTAGACTTTATGAAAAAAACTGAGCCCATAATAACTCTATATCTGATCCCATTAGATTGTTTTAAATAAAAACTAAAAAAGGATTATTCAACCATATTTAATGAGTGATGGCCCAACATTGGCTTCACTCAACATCTAGTTACCAAGGAAAGAACTAGAAGGTATACAAAAATATATAGAACTCTGGGACTTGATGCTAAATTCACACCCTAAATGTGAAATTGAGCTACTACATGAACATAGATTCACATAGAGTGATTGTCTTGAGAGATCAATTCAATTAGACTTCATGAAAGGCTCTTTATTATAGAATGCAGTAATATATTTAGTCCTAGACAATAGCCTTATTAGCAACATAGTCAAATTTAAATTTTTTAAAAAATCATCATATATTCAAAAACATGATTTCATCATTTTCAAATAGACACAATTTTTAACATTCAATACAATATTCAATATAAGAATCAAAATTCTCAATATATATGGATATAATCAAACAAGATCTAAGTTACAACTATGGCAAAAAATTGCCAATCACCTAATCTTGAAAGTACAATGGATCATGGGAGGGAACTTCAACTTTGTAGAATCTCTCAAACATAAATAAACATATTCCACCTTAAGATGCAACACAAAATTAATTCCTTCAAACAACCTACTTACCAAACTATAAATTCAAGCTACATTTTACATAGAAGAGTTTAGGAAGATTAACAACAAAAATTATATCTATGATAACTACCATTGGATTTCCAAAATAGTCTTAATATGCATTTATACAATATATGTAGGAAAAAAGCTGCAAGAAAAAGAAAGAATGTTTGAGATAAGGCATTTTCAATCTAGCACCTTCAACAATTCATCCATCTTCATCAAAATTAATCCATTAAGTCTTACATTACTCTACACACAATTTTTTGATAAAAGCCAATTAACTACAAAAGACCAAAAATTCCTCACAGATACATAGAAACAAACACTCAAACAATCCATGTCCAACTTTTGATACAACAAAATCTATGTTGTCTTTTATGTAATCTGCAAATCCAATATAACAATAGCCAAAAAAATCTGCCACTTCTAGAACCAATATTATCAAGAGTAACTTACGAAACTACTCACAACAAAAATATAGCTATAGAAAATTAGCATGATATGAAGGCTAGAAAAACACTGAACTTAATGCAAGTTAAAATTCAATAAATCAAGTATAAAAGGTTAGAGAAGCAATTTATCTCCCTCTCAACTAAATGGACCAAGGGAAGAGATTGTTTTAATGTAAACTTCTTCCAACACTATAGAACATGACTTAAGAATATCCAAATAAGAGAGTTCAATGCAGATGGCCATATTTTGAAACATAAAGACGACATAGCCAACTATGCCTAAAAATACTATAAGCATTTATATATTATAGATACCTCAATAAAAGATAATGTTGAAACTCAAAAATAATATCTTAAAAGCATGCCTAGACTAGTAATCTAAATAAAAAATATAGAATTAGAGACGGAGATTATAAAAGCAAAAGTAAAAACACTCACATTTGGATTTCGAAGAAAAAAAAGTACAAGGAATTGATATGATACCATCTGGATTCTTTTAAGCATATTAAGAAGATATAAATAAAGATATAGTAGCACTAGTTAAAGAAGACCTCAAACAAGGCAGCTTCTTCATAAGATCAATACGAGCAAGATTGTTTAAATACCTAAAAAAATGATCTATCTTTGATTATTAACTATTAATTAATCTTTCTATTTAATACCATTTATAAGATTATAGCAAAGCTATTAGATAACTGCCTAATACCAAACTTATCCAAATAGATATATAGATCACAGACAGGATTTGTAACATAGAATGTATATTAGATGACATCTTCTTTATCACCAAAGCAATGACTTAAGCAAAGAAAAATCAACAAGACTTAGAACTAATACTCTTGGACTTCAAAAAAACTAATGTTAGAATTAGTTGGACCTTCTTGAAGCTATTATGAAACAAATAGGCTTCTCTTCAAAATGGATACAATGGATTATGTCACTCAATATAGAAGTTGTAGCCTTAATAACAATCAACAATAAACATGGATAATCATTCAAATTGGAAGAATTCAAAAGACAAGATTGTCCTTTAGGTCCTTATATTTTCTTATTTGCTGCAAATGCCTTAAGTTATATTTTAGATGATAAAAATAATAGAGCGGAAATACTACCCTCTCAAACCAAACTTGCTACTCCAACTCTATTTTTGTTGATGATGCTTCTTTATTCCTAAAAGAAAATTCCAACAATTTAAACAAAGCAATCACTACATTAGAAAATTATTATAAAATCTTAAAGGTAAAAATCAATTGGCATAAAACAACAATAATTTGGGCATCATAGAAAACAAAAGATTTTAAATGGAGACAATAACAAGGACTCACCTTGATAAGACCTAGAGCAATAGTGAGATATTTGAGATTTTCAATTGAATTTCATATGTTTTTAAAAGAGAACAAAATCAATAGCAAATCAAGGTCATAATCAATAGTAAAGGCTTTTATTTATGGCATTACATACATCAAGCATGGTAATTCATCCAAGTTGATCTACAACAAAATATCTCTTGCTACCTGAATGACATCATGCGCGAATCAATCTATAACAATACTCTATTACGAGCTCAAGATAATACTATGTAGGACTAGCATATCTTCGATGGCTATTACCTATAGATGAGAAAGGACATAAGAATTTGTGGAGACCTTTGAAACAATACTACAGAAACTTGGTACAATTTGGAGACCTTGCATTGCCACACAAGGAATAGTAGGACAAATATAAAACTCTTAAAAATCCTAAATATCATGCCATGGCACTCAGAAGAAGCACAACCATACGCATCCATAGAATAGCAGACAATTGACATTCATGGTCCGATTATGGAAATATACTATACATTCAAAATTAAAAACTCAACTGTGTAAGGAGACAAGTACATTGTCAACTCCTTTGAAGAATTAGATTACATCAATATAAGACCAATATACTTTAAAGACAAAAAATTCAAATGAATCCACATTAAATTACACATAGGAGCAAATGGAATATTTAAAGACTACAACCCCTTACAAAAGCCTGACACATAACAAATACTTTGACTTACAAGTGACAAATCCATCTACCAACTATCATTGAATCCAAAAGACTAGACTTAGAAGAGACATGGAGCATTTTCTAATACCATGTTTTTCAATTATACTACCAAACGTCGATACAAGAAAAAAAGTAAATCCATCACAATACCACCCAAAGGCAAGAAAATCTTAAAAGAACATAACTTCAAAAATGCCAAACAAAAGTAGTTCTACTAGAAACTTTGACACCTATGGCTCTCAAGAAAGGTCCTTGCCATGCAATAGTTAATATTTGGAGACAAAATCCAAGTAAGAGCATGGATACAAGTGATACAAAAAGATAACTATTGTTCCATGTTCAATGACAATTTTATTGAAATAATACAACATACATTTTGAGAATGTCTTCACATCACTACCACTTGGACAAAATAAAATCAATTATACATGGAGGCCCTACTTCTTCCCCTCAATAGCTATTATGAGGTCATATATGGACCTACTACTCCAAGTATGCAATATCCTCCATGCAGATTTTTCCTGATACTCTTTGGTTACTACTACACATACTTATATTTTAGAATATATAGCATAATCAATGCTTATATGACAAAAAAAGAGCTCCATACTATATAAGACTAGTGCTTTACAAAGTATGGAAAATGACAATCTACATAGGCATAGAGATGTGGTGAAATCTTCAACATACAAAGAAACCCTAAGAATTACAAACAACAAAAAATAAAAAATTTATGCACATATGGATGGCCACTGGAGTTTTTGCAAAGGCAATAGCAAAAGAATCTACTTGGAAATTAATCTCTCCTATGTAGTTGCTCTTGAAAGATCTATTGTAGCACCCTCATAGCAATCAAATCACTATGTAAACTATAACAAACTATCACATGAAATAGTCTTTAAATCTCTCTAAGGGCACCTCCCACAACACTCCTAAACAAGAAGACCTTATGCACAACCCTATATCAAGCAAAGAGATATTCTAACAAAAAATACAATAATTCCTTGTAGAAATTGAACAAGAACATACAAAGAGAATAAAAATAAATAGAAAATAAAGACAAGCAATCTCCAATTGATGCAAACATCTTTAATATTACGCATATTGCCACCAAACTATGATAGCAGCAAATTTATAATTACATGTCTATGTAATAATGGCAGCCACACATATAATAGATGATAATTTATTTCGTTTAATCAATAGTATATATAAAAACAGACAAGAATAGTACAAACAACTAGTAAATATAAATAACCATGATATAAATACACTTTTGTCAAAGATAGAATTTAATGAGGGCTCTGTAATTCATGTCAACTTTAGAAACAACAAAATAGCATACACTTAACCCTCTCAACTAGGCTCCACAAAGAGCAACTACGACAAAAACACAAAGAAGGTAATAATTAGTTATTCTAACAAATCACTGCATTCACAAAGATGCCAATCCATCCATTACGCAAGTAATGCATTTGTTACCACTTTTTACTTTAATCCTAATGGGATATTTGGCTCAAGGCGAGTGATAAATCACAACCTAGGCCCTTAGCCCAACCAAGGGCAAAACACTCAAAAAAAAACAAAGATATAGACTATTTTTTTAACCATAGATTGACTTTAGGCTCAATTGGCTAAAGCACCCATTGATATGCAAGAGGTCCTAAGTTCAACTCTCAATAGTAGCAACAATCATTTTATTGTTTATAATAAGGAAAGAATCAAATCATATTAATGAAAATTTGGTTGTTCACTCTGTGGTATAATCAAGACTATCTTACAATTAATTATAAATTTAATAAAATGAACCAATGATTTTTATTATTTGTTTTGTAATACAACCTCTATATTATACTACTTGCAAGTTAGGAATCAAATATGATTGATAGCATTGATTGCCACAACCATACACAATGTCGTCTCGCCTGAAATTTGAGTTATTCCAGCCTGGTCTTGATCCAAAGGTTCCATGTACATAGTATAAGCAAGACCCACCAAATACATTAAGAAATTTCTTCTAAATCGTGAGTACCAGCGCCATAGCAAGAATTGTTTTCAGAATCTGTGCCTAAAAACAGTCATGTAAACATGGATCGTCCAGTTGTCATGTTGCAAAAGCTGCTGAGGGGTGTTAAATGGAGAAGTTCCTGATTGTTGAAGTACTTTCTGCTCCTCTTCTGAATCGGCATCTTGGATTGCTGCCTTGACTACGCGGGAGAAATCAGTTTCGATCAGCTACCTACACATCTCTTGAAAAAGAAAACCCTTGTAAATTCACTGCCTATTTCCAAGTCAATCTAGTCAGAGCAGAGTGTACAAGAAAAAACTAGAAAGTTTGTAGGCGAAATATACCTAGAGGGAGGATATGTAAGTAGAATGGTAACTGATTTTAGAAAGGTCCCTAGCATGAAGCTTGAAAGGCTGGTAATGCCACCAATGCCCCTTCAGCAAGCTGTTTCGCAGCAGAATGTCAAATTTCTTCAACCATTGCAAGGCCAGTGCTTGTGCATACATTCAAGATGCTCGCATAAGTAGTTGCAACAGGAATGAACCCTTCTCGCTGCATCTGAAGAAAGAGAGAGAACGCTTCCTGCCCGCATTCATTTTGTGCCAGTCCACTGATCATTGCAGTCCATGTGATTACATCACGCTCCACCATTCCATCAAACATGAGTCTAGCATCACTTATACTGCCAGTCTTGCAATACATGTGAACTAGAGCATTACCAACACGCACATCAGAATCAAGTCCCGCTTGAACGGCCTGCCTGTGAACCTCCTTCACCCATCCCAAAGCCCCTGTGCTTGCACTTGCATTGAGGATGCTCATGTATGTGATGGCATCCGGAACAACTCCTTCTCTCCGCATCCGAAGAAAAAGAGAAAATGCTTCTTGCCCACACCCGTGCTGGGCAAGCCCACCAATCATTGCATTCCACGTGAATACATTACGCACTGACATTTGGTCAAAAACAAGTCTTGCATCATCAATACTGCCGCTCTTAGCATACATGTGCACAAGTGCGTTGCATACACGAAAATCGGAACCAAGTCCTGCTTTTCTAGCATGGTTATGAACCTGCTTCACCCATTCTAGAGCCCCTGCGCTCGCACTTGCAGTAAGGATGCTCACATAAGTAGTTACATTCGGAATGACTCCTTCTCTTTGCATCTTGAGAAAGAGGGAGAACGCTTCGTGTCCACACCCATTTTGTGCAAGTCCACCGATCATTGCAGACCAGCTGATTACATCACGATCCAGCATTCCTTCGAAAACAAGTCTAGCATCATCAACGCTGCCACTCTTGGAATACACGTGAACTAACGCATTACACACACGCATGTCTGAATCAAATCCAGCTTTGACAGCGTGACGATGAACCTCCTTCACCCATCCCAAAGCCCCTGCACTAGAACATGCAGTTGCAGTGAGGATGCTTAAATAAGTAGTTGAATCTGGTACAAACCCTTCTTCTTGCATCTGAAGGAAAAGGGAGAATGCTTCCTGTCCAAAGCCGTGTTGTGCAAGTCCACCAATCATTACATTCCATGTGATTACATTCCGCTCCGCCATTTCATCGAAAACTAGTCTGGCATCTTTAATACTGCCACTCTTGGCATACATGTTGACCAGCGCGGTCTGTACAGGAACATCTGATCGAAAGCCACCATGGCTAATATGTGCATGAATTTCTTTGCCCCACTTTAAACCAACCGGGCAGGCGCATGCTTTCAAAATACTCAAGTAAGTTACCTCATTTGGCCGCCCACCTTCTTGACGCATTTGATTATAAACCTCGATTGCATCAGCCGGGCGACCATGCTCGGCATAACCTCCAATCATGGTGGTCCAATTAAAAACATTTTTCTTCACAAGTTTGTCAAATACGTGACGTGCATCCTGGACCTTCCCACACCTAATGTAGACCCTCATTAGCTTGTTGGCTACATACGGATTTTGGTCCATCCCGCTCTTCAAGATGCAATCATGAACCTGCTTGACTGATGTAAGATCTTTATGCTTGAAACACCTTTGCAGAACGTCAACGTACATGTAGGAGTCTATAGTACTGCCTTGATGGAGATGCTTTTTTACAAGAGAAATAGCTTCACTTATAGTACTTGCATTCTGTAAGTATTTACCAGCACTAACTAGAGCAGTTTGGTCGAACTCTCTCATATTGGATACACAAACTAGAGAAAGATTCCTATGCTTCTCGTGCTTTGCACTTCCAGAAAAGGATGAATGCTGCAACTGCTCCCCAGGCCAGAAGCTTGTGCCTAGAGAAATTCTATGTATCTGTACTTGCAAACAGACCACCATATGCAGAACATCACACACATAATGAACATGCTCACACCAGTTATTTAACCAAATCCAGCAATTTGTCACATTTTCTTAACTTATCCATGTAAGCAACATTCAAATGAGCTACAAATCCACTCTCATCACGTTTACATACCCTGACAGTTAGCCCCAAAACAAAGCTTCATTATGTTTCATAACCAAGGAATTTCACAACCTTTCAGTGAAGTTGACGAGAACACTTACTCGTGTACAAATATCATACAAAGAGGAAGATGCAAGTCTCCCCCTATTCTGTCCATCGATGAGCTCACTAGTTACAAGAAGGCTCTTAAAAAGCTGGGATGTAGAGTTCACTGCCATTCCAGCCAACCACATGAACGCCTCCGACAACGTTGAGGCTTATTACACGTAAGAGCAACAAATCTGCAATATTTAATTCCGCTGCAGCTAAATAAACCTGCACCCATAGGTACCAGGCCTATTTTTTCAAATACACCTTCAGACTACCATTAATTGATGTACACACTCACGAAAAAAAAATAGCCATGGCTAAAGTTAATACCTCCAATCAAAGAATCACGACTCAAGTGAATCTTACACACCACAAGCTATAGCTACTAAGATTGCAGGTTGTACGGTTCGAATTTAGTATAAATTCGATGACTGACCATCACTGTTGTCTCAAAACCCGAAACACACCGATGTAATTCCCTCAAGAAAACATTCAAACCAACCCCTGCTCTGACTCGGAAGCTTAAACCCTAAACCTGAACCAATCCCCTCCTCCTAGAACCCTACGAAACTCCCAAACCGCGATTCTTCAGCCTTGGACCAAGCGAACTTATGAGTAAACTTGACCCTGAATGCATGCGACCCATCTGAATCATAGTTTCAAGAAAAGGACAGAAAATTTGACTTACAGTGACGAATTTGTTACATGATGGTACCGGCACAAGCACCCTGGATCCACGATACAAAGCAACCTCAACGCACGAGACGGACAGCGGCACAGTACTATCGAAACTACACACTGCTTCCTGTTGCACATTCCCAATTTGCGAAACTCGAAACAATTCTACAACGGAGGCAGCAGCGATGCCACACTGAACGCCCATGAGAGGGAGTGAATCAGTTTAGGTTCCGGATGCAAACTGACGAAAGAATCCATGTGTTGACCAGCGCCGTGGATTCACCGAGAGATTGACGGGCGAAGGAATTGTCAGGATTCAAGCGAGAGACCTTGATGAAGAAGCAAAGGGTGCCCTGCCTCCATCTCAGAGTGGCCATCGAAAAGCAGATGGATGCCTCCCCGGGAAGGAATGCACGAGACGAAAACGACGAACACGACGAACGGGAGAACGACGACGACGAACACGACGAACGCGAGGACGAGGACGGGGACGATGAGCACGACGAGGGTGGAGGAACGTGTGAAAGAAAAGAATTGGCATAAAAGAAAAATGAAGAAAAAAGAAGAGAAAAAAGGGGTAGAGTGTATATGTGATTGTGTCTTTCTTCCTTTGTATCTTTCTTCTTCTTCTTTTTTACAGCTTGACATTATTTTATTTTTTAATATATTTTCATTTGATGGACAACAAAAAAAAAAATCCATTTCTGTAACAATTAATCCAAACACGGAAACCAAAAATATAAAAAATGTAGTAATGGAATTAAATGACCATGGACCCTCTTTCTTTGCGTTCTCAGCTATCGCATCACATATCAAGAATAAAAGCATTATAGTTCTTTTTATTTTTATTTTTAAACCTATTATTAAGATTATTTTTTATTAATTTTTTAAAATGGCAATACAAACACAACCCTTAAAGCTTAAGTTATTGATTTATTTATTAATTTGTTTGGTGTAAGTTAGCGTTGAAAAACACCTCACCACAGATAGTTTGGATTAAAGTTTACATTTTTGTATGATTTAAAAGATAAAGCAATAATTGTTTCAGAAAAATATAATTTTTTTCAAAAGTATATGATGCAAATTTTCGTTTGCATCATAGATAAACTTTAGATTGTTTTATTTATTTATTTGGATGGGTGGATGGGTGACGTGTCATGCCAGCAGGGCATTCATTACACTGCCACTTGGTATCTCTGGTTCTACTGGTTGGTGAATATTGACCTCCTCCCAAGCTTCAGTTTCTTCACCAGTTGCTTCATTTATTCCTGCAAATTTTCAAGCTCATTTTGGGTCCATCAGTCAGAATTATATAAAAATAAAATAAAATAAAAAAGAAAACACAATTATTAAATAAAAGAAATGGGAACAATGCTATGTAAACATGATTTAACGATATTGCATTTATTATTTTATTTAGATGTTTGTTAGAAGAATATACCAAGCAGTGCTAATGTGATATACAATTGTACCTTTGACTTTAAGTGTTAGAGCCACAACAGCATCATTCACAACCTGCATAAGCAGCATACACACAATAAATAAAACAAATGGTTTGATACAAAATTTGAATGCTTAGGATTGTCATATGTATCTGGAATTAAACCATAATTTAAGATTTGTTCATTTCTCTCTTCTCAAACCAAAATTTACATTTTAAAAATAGTAACCATCATGTCAGAGAAATATTCCACAACTATACAACCAATCAAAATTGGCACCAAATGCTCATTTTACTTGGTACTTCTATAAAATAAATAAGTTCTTTTCCAAGTATGGATGGGAAGAAAAAAATGTAGAAAAATGACCACATGTGTGTTTCTGAAACAATGTTACAAGTTACAAAACTTTCCCACTAGTCTTAACAAACAAAAATTGTATGTTGGAGCCAAAATATAAGAAAATGGATCAAAGTGAGATTAAAGATGGAACCTTTTGTGTGGCAAGGGTTTTGCATTCATCCAAGACGATGGGTTGGGGGACGACCAAGACAAGGCGCTGGTTGTGCACGGGGACATCGCTCAGGAGTTGAAGCTTTGCTTTGGTCTCGAGCACACACTCAGAGGGATCGCAATGCAAAAAATATGTTGTCCTCTTTCGCTTCACTCGGATAAACATGGCCTGCCCCACATTCATCGCCATGTTCAATCCCACATGGCATCCCATATGCATACAATAAAATTACACACATTCTCTTCTCTCTCTTGCTATTTATATGTGTGTGAATATATATATATATATATATATGTGTGTGTGTGTGTGTGTGTGTATAATTGTTGTTTTACATACCAACAACAAGGATGTCTATTCTTTTGTGTACAAAATTACTAGAACTGCACCTAAAATTAGAAATATTCAACATGACAACAAGTGATTGGAAATTTTTGCTAAAAACTTTAGACAACATATGTGAATTCTAAAACTTGAATCAACTGCATAAATATTTAAGATGGCGTGTTTTTTCTTATAAATGGAATTTTATTTCTACTAGAAAATTGGAAAATTTTATGTTATTTTTTATTTATAAATAATATATGCATTTAGATAAATTAAGAAATAACAAAAAATGATTTTTTTGTAGATTTTTTATAGTTTTGTAATGTAATTTCGTTTCTAAAATTTGCATTTCTATTGATGGTATTCAACAAATTACTAAAAATTAACAGTTACAAAATAATTTGGAATATTAACATTCTAAAACTTTCATATGGTGATGCATTTTATATGAAAATTTGCACCATAACTCTTTGGTCGAATATCACTGTATCACAAATATAGTTAATTAAAAACAACAATCCAATGTATTCCAGTTGAATTATATAAAAGTGAATCTCTTAATAATTTCCAATTCCTGAACATACATAAATTAAGCATGTTTTAGGAAATCCAATGAAAAATCCGAATTATTTAAATTGTAGTTTTTATTTCTACAAGCTTTTCAGTAATAATAAATTTAAAAAATTTCAAAATTATCGAGGAATCAAGTCAAGCACAAGTATTGTGGAAACAACATCTACTATTACTAAAATTTGTTCAACTCAAACACTTTAACTTTTTGTGGGTTTTGAACTTCAAAAATAAAGCATTCAATGTACAGTAGATTTTTTAATTTCAGAGATTTTCCAAAGGTGTAATTCAAGTGAGCATTGATTATTGTTTTCAAATCAACATGTCAAGGGCATGAAGACGCACCAATCACAAAAATATCAGAATCACCCATTGATCCACCGCTCTTAATATTGCCCATGCCTTAGACATTTACATTACAAAGCCATTGATTGATTGATTGATCAATCAATAAAGTAGTTAATTTATGTGGGTACACTCACAATGCCATTAAACTTAGGAATGCAAAGAGGAAGTGCATTCACCGTCATGGTCTTCAGTTCAACAAGATGGAATTATTAGACTATTTTGCAAAGCTTGTGATGGTCTTGTTCCAATGCATGTCAAGGCTCCGAGTTGGTTTCAACTACTCTACCACTTGTCTCTAATTAGCATTCTGTAAACCCTAACTCCAAGGACAAGAACAAAGCACTCTCCCAATATTTTTGTTGCACAAAAACCTTTTTTTTTTTTTTTTTTTTTTTTTTTTGGGTTGCTTTGAATCTCATTGTTAGCAAACCCTGAAGTGTCATTTACTGGTCTCTGAAAGAACCAAGGGTACAAAAAACTGCAACATATCTGCCAACTGGAATTAATTTAACTCTATGGTAATTGAGATGATTATTTTGTGTTCATATTGTTGTTATTATTATTACTGCAATTACTATCTTTACAGATTTTTTTTATTTTTTGGATTGGCTTTTAAGTTATAAATTTGTTGGGAATGATTGATTTTATTGTTGTGGTAGATTAAAAAATTTATGAACTTTCATTTCTGACTCTTGCAATAAAAGTTCATAAATTTTTTTAAGATTCAGGTTTAAAAGCTATGTGTCAGATGTGCATTCTAAAGAACAGTATAGGCCAATTCCTTATCTATATCATAACATGTAGCAAAAGAATTAAATAATAATAATAATAATAATAATAAACATAATTTCTGGATAGTAGTTTATTAGGCCTTTTTTTTTAATGTATTATTTTGTATGTATTTTGTATGTTAGACACTACTGGTAATACATGAAATTGAATATTACACATGGATGCCACTAAGTGACCAGTCAGATATCTATAATTCTATTGTTATTTGTCGATTGAGATTTTGAGTTAAGACAGTTCAGTATGACAAGAGTATAGAGAAGTTTAAACTTCAGTAATCCTTATAACATTGATGCATTTCAAAATTTCAATGATTATTGTAGATCAAATTGTGATGAGTTTCAACAAATTTATTTTCAAATTATATGAATTTTGAATGCATTTTTTACTTCATGAATTTCAAGGTCTGAATCTATAAATTGTGAAAATTGTTGTTAACTTAATTAATTATAAGTTATTGGTTTAAGGAATACTCATGCTAACTATTGTAGAAATTTAAACTTATAGATCATTTATTTTAAGTTTGTAAAGAGTATATTGAATATGATGGAGTAGAAAAAAAAAAAAATCTAAACATACAAGTTTTTTTTTTTTTTTTTTTTTTTTAAATCTATATTTATATACATATACACATACATCATTCAAAATATATCTCAAGACACATGGGTTTAGGATACAATTATTCTAACAATCAATGGAATTCTTGTAGAATCAATGCACAATTGTTCACCTGTCGTGTGTGTCCTTTTATTTATTTTTTACCATGTTCATAGTTTATTTTTTATTTTTATTTTCAAATCCATAATAAAATACTAATTTAGTAAATACGAAAGTACTTAATGAGTTTTATACCTAAAGAACTATTAGTGTACATTAATTTTAAAAATATTATATATTTGTATCATGATGTATTGTATACTTTTTTTGATTAACATAGTATCACCTGAAATATAATAATATACGAATATATATATATATATATATATATATATATCTACGTTGCAAGATAAATACAGATTGTGAGAACTATTTATTTCTTATGTACTTGTTGCTAATTGTTTTCTAAAATTACTATTCCAAGTGTTACAAAGACAAATTTTATGTATTTGTCATGCATGACTATATATGTGCTTCAACAAGAATTACGTGATAGAATTCTTGAATTGAAATTTAAAATTTTCTGTAATCGATGAAATTCTTAGCAAATAAACATTTACTTTAGGTGCAAAAGCCTTGGACAATTGCAGTTATACTGCAGATTACGGTTCACTACATCCGCAGAAGATTTATTCCTCTATTTGATTATAGTATAACATAATACTCATGTGGAACATGGTTTCAGAATTGCATCACGCTCAGTCGAAATCTAAGAAAGTTCAACTAGCCGGGACTAAGTTTGTACTCAAGACTCGCCGTTAAAACCGACAAGGATTTCTGAGTATGAGAGGACATCGCCCTTGTTTCCAGCAATGTCCAAAGCATCGTCGCCACAACCGGTTTGTTTAGAATCAGAGGCGGCAGCTTGCGCAGAATTTGGAGGAAGGGGTGCTAGTGCGACGCGGTTGTGTCAAGCTCGCAGGCTACCGACAGATAGCGAGAGCGAGAGCGAGAGTTTGCTAGTGCGATGGCAGAGAGAAGGCAAGCACCGACTTGCCGTAGTAGGAGGTGCCTGCGCCGGTAAGCCGCGGAAATACAACGTTGGTGCCGACGCCGACGAACGCCATGCCCTTCACCACCGAGACACCGCCAGCTAACGGACCGGGCGTCGGGTGGGTCCACAGAACTTTGCCCGTCTTCGCGTCCAACGCTACCACCTTCCCTGGATTCAGGGTCTCAATGTTTCCATTCGACCCGCCGAAGAGCACTCCATTCGCATGCGACATCTAGGATCGAAGCAGCGCACGGAGAGGTGAGCAGTTGTGCCATACGATCATGCCATGTTGTTCATACGGGGACGGTGTGATCATAGGAAACGGTGGTGGGAAGTGAGAGAAGGGCCAGTTGCCGTGAGCTTACCGGAGGATTGGTGGTGAAGTTGTCGGGATTGGCAGTAGACCACAGGATTTGCCCTGTAGCAGCATCCATGGCTACCCATCCCCCTCGCCTGACGACTTCCGTGGAAGGTAGCAGCTTGAACTCCGCCCGCTCGTTATTTATGATGTGCGTGAACACTCGCTTGCCGTCCGTTGCCATCCCCCAGGAGCTTCCCCCCAACACTCCTCCGGGCCCTGCAGCCTGCAACCAATCATTGAAACCAAATTCGATTTAGGACGGTGATCTTGTGATCTCTGGCCACATTCTCGTGGTATTCTCCCAATGTGTGCTTCCTTTCGAGCATAGGTCACAACGTACTGCAGCTCATGGATTGTGAACAATTCAAATCCTTGATTTATTTTCCTTGTATGGAATACGAAGAGGAGATTGATAGACGATGCGAACACAGATCATGGTTGTATGAGTGGTTCTCTGAAATAACTGTGCGAAATTCTTCTGACGCGCTTGACTGAGACACTACGACGGAATTGAAGAGAAGATGAGGTTGAACTGCCATACCGTAACCCAGACGAGATCGCCAGTCGAGCGATCAAGAGCCCATACAAACCCACTCTTCTGCCCCACAATGGCAACGTCGCGACTCTCGCCACCTTTCGGCTTGATTGTCAGTAGCATGGGTGATTCGCCGAAATCGTAATCTGGACCAGGACTTTCGGGACAGTTTCCTCCGGTAGGGTTAGCGAGGCAAGCCAACACAAACACATCGGATCCGCCAAGGTTCCGTGCCCAAGAAACTTTCCCTGTGTCTATGTTGATTGCCACAATGGAGGTTACGTAATCACCCTCTGCCACACAGGGATCCTCTAGGGTGGGGTTCGTCACGTTGGCAGGGTTTTGGGTCCGGCACTCTTCGACATCCGGCGGTGCGGAGTACGAGTTTCCGGTAGCGATGTAGACCAATCTCCGGGTGGTATCGATCGGTGGGCCGCTCGCCCAAATTGCGTTGCCAGAGTACAAGCCCGGTTTGCCACCGTTGTCTGGCTGCATGCGCACACTCCACAGAATCTTTCCGGTGGCAAGATCTAGTTTGAAAAATCTCCCTTGGAACGTGCAGCAGCCCTCCTGTCGAACCTCTTCCAACGAGCTTGTTCCGATGTAATAGGCCCTGCTTTCAAACCAGTAATTTCAACTCATTAGAACGTTTTATCTTTTCCTTCAGATTTGTGTTGTCCCTCCCATCTCCTGCTTTGAAAGGATTTGATTTCGAAGCCAGTCTAAGTTGCCGATCTTAACCATATAGCACATCTAATGTGATGGCATAATTGAAGCTTGTAATCCATTGCTAGCTGGGATTTACCATCTAGTGCAGGTTTGCCTCAGTCACATTTGTGTGGTTATTCTCAAATTCAACTTGTGTGATTAGGTTCTCAGTTGCGTCTCCAACTCGGATTCGATTGCTTCAGAAGTACGATTCCAAACGATTTTTTCTTGGCGCTTAAGTGCCATTGGAGCCGAGAGCAGTCATTAGTGTGACCCCACTTGAACTCAATCCCACAAAGCTAGATGTTGCACCTTCTAGATATAGTCTAGAGGAAAAACGTGCAATAAAGGATAAATTTTTATGGCTTGGTAGAATGCTTTCAGTGCGTAATTTTCAGTGACAATAATCAGACAATTTAGACCGATTCGAAGACTGATATGGAAACTGGGTCACAGTGTTGAGGAATACAAATACTTACCCCTCAAAGACGGTCCCACTCATGGTGATAAGAGCATATGGGTGGGAATCTAACACAGTGCTCCACACATGATGACCGGTCGATCTCTTGACTGCAATCACGGCGCCGGGGCTAGATAGCCCCACAATCAAAAGATTTCCAACAATAACTGGTGTCGAGCGCGACAGAATCGGATATCCGAAGAGTTTTGTCACGAAGTTCTTCCCTTCAATGTCCGGAATTCCTGCCGTGAGCTGAGTTAAGTTCTGCTCCCACACGAGCTTTCCCGTCCTAGCTCTCACCGCGAACAGTTTACCGTTCCAGCTCGGGAAGTAGACCAGCCCTCGGGAGACGGAGGGAGTGGCCGTGACGTCCCCCCCCGTGATGAATTCCCATTTGAGATCGTAAGACTGTACGGAGTCAGGGTCGATCTTCCGCTCCCGAAAGGCGTTTCGCCAGTTGATGATTCCGGGACCCCCATGGCTCGGCCACTGATATGACAATTCACCATTCAATAAAAACTCAGCTAAACAGATACGCTTCACAACATAAATCATTCAAGAAAGGTGCATAAGATTCAAAGTGCGCACATCACGATCTTGTTGACTAGGGCCCTTTGTTGCCGTGACTGCTGCCACAAGGCACACTAAAAGAAAGGTTCGCCAGAGTGCAAAGCGGTTCATAGTCGATAAACTCGAAACTGCAGCTTCGAAATCCTGGAGACGCATGGAATCCTTTGTGAAAGAATGACGACGTTTGCTGTTGAAGGCGTCTTCATGTAGGCAGAGAGACCCTGTTTGTGTCAACAGCTTACGTCGTTCGAAACGCTTGACGTCGTCACAGGCAGCCCTGTGTGACGGTTCGAAGATCTCTATATGGGTGACGCAAGCTTATCCGTAGACTTCTTTACGCCCACTCTAGATCAATGCTAGGGGTTGCAAAAATAATTGTGACTACATTGACAATCTTTGATTTGAGGGTGTGGATCTTTCATCTCAAACCAAGTGTCTCTTTAAAAGCTGATATTATCAGCTGATAATTTTGTCGATTTGCTCCAGCATCAATGGCCCAGGTAGCCAGCACGGTTTCCACAAAGTTTCATGTGTCGTTTACTCCACCGATCCGTCTGCCTTTGGATCTTTCGGTACGAAATTTATGCTTCAGGTGCCAGATCTCGAGAGGCGACTGCTTCGCCACATCCATGGACTGTAATCACACAACGCCTCCTTGGATTTGGAGGTTTCCTTGTTTGTATGTTTGTTGAAAGAATGGTGGTTTACCTTTTGTTATTTATTGTATTTCATATATTTTGATACCTGAGAATAGACCTCTTAACTATTCATTTGGGTTTAGAAATCATATTAAAGTTTCCTTCCAACAAGTTGTACCATAGTTTGTTAACCTAAATTAAATTATTCTATCAAATTTTTATTTAGGCATTTTTTTTGATTAGTAATAATGTTGTTATATTATTCTCAAATAGTCTTGAAATATGTTCTTATCACTATGAATTAAAGTATTTTCATGTCATTGATAGGATTAATAGTATTACTAAAAATAATTTATTGAAGTTATAAAAGTAGATATAAAATATTGATTGGATTATTTTTAATAAAATAATACATTGTCAAGGACAAGAATTTGATGAAAGCATATAAATAAGTGAGATTTTTTCAAAAAAGTATGAAAAAATAGAAATAAAGAAGTATGTATATTAAAAAGAAACTACAATGGCTATTGTCAAAAGACAAAATCTAAAGACTTAATGAAACTAAACTAGAAATAATAATAAAAAAAAAAAATTGACGAGTGAAGAAGACTTCACTCTTGATTCTATATTTTTCTCTTTACATAAGAGCTATGTGGTGACATTCTATGGAGCCTCCAAAATGTGTTGGCTTTGCATAACACATATTTTAACTTACAAGGCAAGTTTTCTATATGGGTGCCACATAGTTAGCTTGTTTTGCAAGCTACCAATATATGTGGCATGTAGTTAACTTGTTGACCAAGTTTCTAACCTATCAATCAATTACAAATACATATAAAGTCAAAGTAGCATCTATGAAGCTTTTAAGAAGCTTTCTTATTAGATCTTATGAGATTAATTTATTTTTATCTACTTCTATTTATTCATATTACTTAGATAATAATTACAATAAATATATATCTGTGATATATTGTTAAGGACATGAACTAAAAGAAGATGCATAAATCTAAAAAATTTGTGTCAAAAGAAAAGTGACAATATAGTAATAAAGTAGTATATATATTAAAAAGAAATTGAAATAGCTATTGCTAAAAGACAAAGAAAGTAGAGACTCTTAAATCTAGATTAGAAGCAAGAAAGGAATTGATAAGAGTGAAGAGGACTTTACTCTTACCTTTATATATACTATCTAATTAAGAACTATGTGACAATATTCTATATGACTTCTAATATGTGTTGACTTTGCAGAACACATGTTTTAGCTTACAAAGCCAGTGTTCTATGTATGGACCACATAGTTAGCTTATTCTTCAAGCTACCAATATGTAGCACATGGCGAACTTATTGACTACATTTTTAACCTAAAAAGTCAATTATAAGTACCTATAAAGTCAAAGCAATGTCTATGAAGCTTTTAAGAAGCTTCTGTAGAAGATATTATAGAATTAACCTACTTTTATCTACTTTTATTCAATTATATAAGTAATTATTGATTTACATGTCTATGTCTGTGACATTACCTTCTTTTCTAGGGTAAGTTCCATAAGGAGCAATCATCATATGTTGAGAAAATCGAAGATGTAGCAAATAGTATTTATCACATATTCTAAACTTTATTCTCTTCAAAGATGGTTAATAGGGCCTTTCAACCATTGATATTGTCTTATATTAGGGAGGGAAGACCACCGAGTTATTTGATTGTTGTTGAAGCCTTTATAACTTCTTTTAAATAAAATATTTGGAATACTATTAAAAATTATTCCTACCTCTAATAAAATCACCAAACATCGACAGTCCTTTCTAAGGTTGTGATACCAAACATATTGTATCTCGCTATCTATTCAAGGAAATATATGTTATTTTTGAGGATCTTTATCTCGATTGCATCATCTTGAAGGTTGTAACAATCACAATGTCTTGTTCGGCAAGTCAACAAATGAAGGTTCTTGAGCCAAATTATTCTTCATTTTCATTTTGATGAATGTTGTTGATGAAAAGCCTCCACCATCTTTGCTGCATTTGCAAGATTCTTTATTGGCTCCTATGTGTATTTACTAATATCACATCCGTACTAATGGACAAGATATTCTAATTTATTTCAGCACCACTTTGAGTTTAGAACTTCTTCCACTTTAAACTCTTAATTATTGTCGACTTCTATAGAAGGAAGTGGGACTTGTCTTCTTCTTAGTATATTCATAGTCTTCTATGGTTCAAGAAGAGATACATATAAGACACGATGGATCTTCATTGACTCCAAAAGATTTAATCAATAAGCAACTAGATTGATTTGTCCACAAATAAGAAAAAGTTCAAGCCTGTGGTAGTCCAACTTATCATAAGGATGAATAATCTTCATATTACAAAGTAACCATACCTTATCACATACATTGAATTATTTTTGTTCCTTTTGATAGGCATCCACATTGATCTTTTATTGTACTTGAGCTTTAATTGTACCTTTATTATTACATATAGCTCAGACAAATAATTTTCTAAATCTTTTGCCAGAGGATTATCAACTTTTGAAAAGTCAAAAGTATCAAGTTGTAGATGATAATCATAATTGGCAAAGAAATGTGTTTGTTGTGTAGAAGAATACATCGTATTTTTATAAGCAAACTTTGCCCACAGTAAGAAGGTTCTTCAATTACTTTATTGATAATTGATGGTACACTTTAAGAGTTGTTTCAAAACTTAGTTTATGCACTCTGCCTATCTATCAATTTGAGGATAAAAAGCCCAAGAAATTTTTATATCCACCTTTAGAATCTTGAAAAGAGTTTTTCAAAATCTTGATACAAATTGAGTCTTCCTATCTAATATAATATCTTTCAGCAATCCACGATATCAATAAATATTGTCAAAGAAAAGCTTGGTAGTTTCTTCACTTATTATAGATTTTGTGCATAGTATAAAATGTGCCATTCTACTAAAATGATCTACTATCACAAATACAGAATCACACAAACTTGAGACTCGAAGATCTATAATAAAATCCATAGAAATAGAAGACCATGGTTATTTTAGAATAGATAATGGCTGAAGAATTCCATAAGATCAACGATAAGGAGTTTTTGACCTTGAAAAAATGTCATATGATTGAACAAAGTCTTTTACAACCTTTCATATTTGTAGCTACTAAAAATCTCTGGATATTATCTCCAAAGTCTTGTTGTATCGAAAATGTCATGTTGCTGAAAAATTATGATAGGCTTAAAAAATATAAGCTGATATGAAATACTTGAGGTTCTTATAATTTTTATATACTTTAGAAGTACATTCTAGATAATAATGACATTCTTAAAAAGAATCCACAATTGCAAGAAGCTCTTTATCGTGGATCTTATAGCTACTCTTGTATATTGTAAATTTCTTGGAATGAAAAGCTACTAAGTGAAGTTTATCATCTATTTCCATTTGTGATAATACGTCACCTAAAGCAAAGTTTGATGCATTTATTTCCATAAAGAATGCCTTAGAAAAGTCAACACAATATAAGATTGGTGCAAAAACAAAGGCTATCTTTAAAGCTCTAAATGTTACTTTTGCTTCTTCATTCCATTGAAGTTTGTCTTTATAAGTCAAACGTATAAGTAGAGCTATAATTCAAAAGAAGTCCTTGGTGAAGATCGGATAGTAGTTGCCAAATCTCAAAAAATATTAAACGTCTCGAACCATCCTTGGAATTTTTCAATCCATAATAGTTTGCACTTTCTTAGGATCCATCATAAATCCATCATTTGAAATGATATAATCTAAGAAGTTAACTTGAGTAATGTAGAATAGACACTTTTCTATCTTAGCATAGAATTCGGCATCTTTTAATTTTTGTAACACATGTTGAATATGAAGTTCATATTCTTATGTGTTCTTAGAATAGATTAAGATGTTGAGTACATAACAGATAATAAAATCATCTAAAAACTCTCAAAAAACATTATTCATAAGATATTGAAAAGGTGCTAGTACATTTGTAAGTTCAAAAGGCATGACATTATATTCAAAATATCTATACTTAGTTCAAAATGCAATCTTTTATTCATCACTTTTTTTTATGTATAATAGATTATATACTCCTTATAGATCTATTTTTGTATAAATCTTAGCTTGATTCAACTGATCAAGAAGTCCATATATTAAAGGTAGTGGGTACCTATTTTTGATGGTGATCTTATTGAGTCCTCAATAATCAATACACATCTATGATGATCAATTTTTTTTCTTTACAAATAGAATTAGGGCTCTTACTAGAAATTTGGAATGGTATATGAAATTTTTGGATAGATTCTCTTTAATATACTCCTTAAGTTGAGTCAATTCATTTTATTATAAATTATAGATTGGTCCAAATAGTGGTTGTGCTCTTTCTTAAAGGTCAATTGAGCAATCATAGGAATAATGTTCCGGAAGAGTATCCACATTTTTTTTTTTTTTTTTTTTCAAATTCATCTTCAAATTCTTAATATTGGCTTAGAATGCCACTTGAAGTCTTTAGACCATTAGAAATGAGTGTGGCATAAATGATACAAGGTGATCCTTCTTTTGCAGCATGTAAGAAAGCTTTTGCACCTACAAACATAGGTTTAATTGTACTAGACTTGTGATTTTTTACTTGATTAACTACATTGTTAGTTACACTTTTAAAAAAGTCAAGAATATAAGAAATTCAATTTACTT